CTCACGCTGTCCCTCTCGGTCCATGAGAGCCTCGACCAAACCCGAGAGCCCCAATTGAGAACTCGAATTCGATCCGAGATCGCACCGTAAGATACCTCTCGCTTGCATCCGATTGGCAAAAAGCATTCAGGAGCCGAATCGGAGACGACGCCGAGAACGACCGCTATAAGTTCATCGCGAGGCCTGTGCCGAGACGAATCCTCGAAGAAGTTCAATTCACTGTCGATCTCGGGCCAGAGAAAGTAACGGTCCCTCAGGGCCCAGAGTTCAGTACGTTCCCGTGCAGTGACCGCCAGGACTCTCAGTGGCTTGCAGACACTGAGAAAAGATCCCTCGAGCGGAGCATGCAGAAGAGCTTCATCTCCAGCGACGAGTCTGCAGTCAGCTCTGCAAAATATAATGACATTTCTTCTATCCCCGTCACTGGAGATGAAGATGCAACCACGACGAGCGAACTATCGACGAGTCATCCGTTGTAGAGTTAATGATCATTTGCACGACGATGTATTAATTCATGCATGCGGGGATGGCAATTACCGCCATTAGGCGAATGACCGTATCGGTTTGAGAATGCAGGGTTTACCACGTGATGTATTGTGTTGAGATGAGTGGGAAAGGAGTCGAGAGAGAACGTTAGTAAGTGTCGACGCTTTCGGACAATACATTTTTTTGACCGAAGGTCAAATATTCGACGTCGATACTCCACAAGTTGGTATTGAATCTGAATAAAATTTGACAGGGCTCCGTAGAACCACAAAGAGCTTCGCCATGAAGGCGTTTCCGAATGTGTTTCTATGCACTGTGGCACATATCGCCGTGCATTATGCTACTTCCTCAATTCTCAGCGAAAGTTCAAATTGAAATGCGTCAAATGGACGTGGCAGCTCGTGTAGCTAATTAATTAGAGGAGCGGTAACGTCTCGTGTGCACGATTCTCCATTAGATCACCTTGCGTACGAAGATTGTCGGCCCGGTTTAACAGTGTGTATCACGATTTCACTTACCGCCGCAGGACCACAAGCATTTGCTCTATTAAGCGAGGCGGGGTTGAAGATGCATCTAGTGAGGCCTGATCCCCTCCTCTAACTCTTGATAGCTCACCAAAGGGAGATCTCTGCTGTTGTGTATCTCCACCAGAGTACTCCTCAACTGGTGCACTGGATCACCTGACTATCTCTGAGCTTCCAAACCTCATAAAACTCATGCACTTGCCGGTAATGTCTGAGGGGGTGGATGGTCCCAGAGGATTCCGATAGATTAACTAGAACTCAAAAGAATGATCATGATAGGATGCCACATCATCCCGACAGCTTTGAATACCGCACGGCGGCAAGAAGTGATGAACTTGACTACGACCACCATCAAGGAGAGCATCATCATCCGAGGCGGTTATAGTCGTCATCTACAGCTCAATAATACTGATAATATCGCTAACTTCACGTAGGCACGATTGCCATAATTACTTCCATAGAATATGATGTTATACGGAACGGCAACCGCAAAAAATCAATTCCAAATGAATCAAAATGTCAACTAGGAGGCCCTTTGCATCTTGTGGGGCCGTTCAGGGTCTCCATCGGCACCATTGGAATCAGTGTTGGGCATCGATCCATTTCTCGCTTCACGTCCATTGCCAGTGTCCACACCAGCTGCGGCGGCTGCAGCATTAGCAGCATCTAGCATCCCCGAGGCAGCGAGCATAGCTTGGACCACATCACTTGCAGTATCCGTAGGAGACGGTGGCACAGCGGAAGGTTCCGACGGATGCGCTGATGGGACGACAGCCTCAGCCGACGACCGATCTTCAGAGGCCACGTGGGGGACGGTGGGGCCTTCACCTGATGGCTCAGCAGGGACATTGTTATCTTCGGCCAGAACACCAGCAGCCTGTTGGATGTATTGATTCAACAGGAGGATCTGCTCAGCCGTGCCCGTAGAGTAGTCCGGATGGGGCATCTGAAGAACCCAAATGAGGAGAAGCCCTCCTCCGGGATCCTACCTCAGCCTCAGGAGTTGCACCCTGTTGAGCCGCCTGAGCAGCGAAGAATAGCGGCAGATTGAAAGGGGGTCCACCCTCAGCAGCCGATGGGAACATCCCAGGAGGTGGTGCCGGAAGCATCATACCACCAGGCGGCATCGATTGTAATGCAAATCTGAGCACACCACTCACAGTCATCAGTGATAGCACATAGGATGATGTACCGAGTGGCTCCCGATACTGATCCCTTCGGCCTTCCTCTAGCCCTCCGGTCCCCAGCTGAACGTTCTCCCGGCATGAGACCGCCAACACATCCTCCAAGGCCAGCGTTCTCTGATAGTCAACCTTGAGGAGCACGACCTCCTCCTCAGCTCGACCTGATGTATCAACATGATGTGCAGCAGCGAGGTTCCACCCCTTATCAATACGAGTATACTCACCTTGGGCTTTCGCGACTAGGAGCCTCTGGCGGTCACTAATAGCCTCCTCCAGCGTTTGTCTTGGTGGCCCTCGAATGTTGCGTCGGTTCACCGACACTTGCGCTTGATAGCAGTTAGACTCCGGCTTGAAATACACTCCCGCGGGAAGTTTCTCATCAGGATTCAACGACTTCCGTTTGGTGCTCCGAGCCTTTGGACCACGAAGCTCGTGAACGATCTAAACATCGGCAAGTGAATCCACACGCTGCCGTACTACCCCTACTCTCATTAGGTCTTCCTCAGAGGACGCGGACTCCATCTTGGCCCTATCTGAGATAGCTTCAGCAAGAGTCTGCCTGGCAGGGCCATCTATCTGAATAGAAGGATGCCATAAGACGAGAACCAGTTCGATGGAGCTCTCACCTTGGCCGTAGTGGGTTTAGGGGGTACCACTGTGCCAGGTGGAAGGACCGGAGCCGGCGGCATATGACCGTTGAACTCCCCTCGTGTAGCCGACAAGGCTTGGGCTAGCTCTCGGTGCCTCGCTGCTGCAGCCAATGGCCCTGGTTGACGATTGGCCGCCGATATGTTGATACTGGCAATCTGCCAACATGAACGGCAATGTATCCATCGCCGAGGAGCACAGCGAGCCCTACATAGGCCTTCTTGCGTTTATGATAATAAACTCCTTTAGGCAGAAGTTGTGAGTGCAGATCCCAGCCGACGAGAACCTTCAAAGAACATGCAACATGGTGTGGTGACGGGAAGCTACCTCTTCAATGTTTCCCTCCATTTTGGCTCTCTCTAATGTGAACTTGTCTTGTTCGGCCTCAACTGAGTCGATCGAGCAACTTGTAAGAGTCGGACGAGTACTTTCAACTTACTCTGTGATTGACGTTTGGGGCCTCGGACCTTCTTTCCGGGATACAACAATATCTACTCGAGAGAGGAGCTTCATGTGGGTTAACGGCGACCGACTCACCTCCGCTTGATAGACCTTCTTCCGGCAGGTGACGATGGCCTGTCCTTGACTGAGGGCATCTTGCTGACTACGAGCTCCTGCGGAGTGGAGATGAGGAGGGGTAGTGAGACCAACTGCCGCCCTGTAATGAGATGGGCATCAACAGGCTGAACAGGCTTAGTAATGGCGACTCACCGGACCGGGAAGGGGATGGACGGATGATGGCGTACGTTCATTCCCGGGGTCGTTTGAGCGGCCTGCAGCAAACAATGGGCTTGGGGGTTGGTAACGAGTTGGGGCTACTGACCTCAGAATTGGGAGCGGCGTCGGGGATGATGGCATCATCCTCGCCGGCAGGAGGGAACATATTGGCGATGTCGATGTGGGATTCTGAGGAAAGGTGATGAATTGACGAAGGGATGGTACGGACTTACCGGTGCTTGGTCGCACTCCAACATCTACACCAACACGAACCGATTGACTGGGCGTCTGAAAAATAGGCTCGAGTTAGACCTATTCTGTATCCTGCCTGGTCGGGGGTAAAGATACGTCAAGGGCAACATCAACGATAGACCAAAATTTGGCACGCGACCGGTCGGCGACGTGTGGCGAGCTTCTTACCACCGGAGCTTGTCGATGATGATCATTCTGCTCCGACGTGACATCATCAGGATGAGGTATGTGTACGGCCGAGGCCGAGGCATATGATGGGTCCATCGCAACGCGAATTGGCGAGCGAAAGGCACTAAAAAGGGCGTGCGGCGATAATTTGGCGCTCAACCAACCACAAGCTGCACGCGCACGCAACTTTGATCGATTACTATTCTTGCAATTTACGTGCACTTTGTAGAGCCCCTACGGTGTGCCATTGTCGATGTGGTATAGCTGCTGATGTCTATGAGGTGGTTGCTACTAATCTGGAGTCACAGTGCTCGAGGGCTTTGACGGGCATGATGAAGGAAAATTCACCAACTCGGTTCCTAGGGGACCGAACAGGAAACTTGAAAGTGACCTGGCGGCTGCCATGTATATCGACAGTATAGCGATTCTCTTTCCTCGTAAGACCTCTGAGGGCCCGAGGG